TATACAAATGCTTCCGGGAAAAAAAATGCTAACATAATCCATTGAAATTTATAATTTTAAAAAAATAAATAAAATCTTGCTTATTTATAAGACTCACAAATTTATCACTTCTACTACCACTCAATACAACAACACAGCATAATTATAAACTCAATCATCATATTTTCAATCCACCCTATCCTCACGTAATAAATACCTCAACCAAAAAAATATTACTAATAGAACACAATTAAATTCACAATCTTTAAGCTCAAAAAAATCTTGTTCATTTATAAAATTCATGAATTTATCACCACTATTACCATTTAACCCCAAATGACACAACATAATTATAAATTTAATCACAAAATATCTAATCCTGCTCATATAAATATACACAAAAAAACACTAACATACATTTATTTTTTGGTTCTCAGTAAACCCTCATAACCAATAATTGTTTTTACAATAAATATACCAATTCAAGTTTTTAAGATAATATAATAATAAATTAATGTCTAATTAAAAAAATAGTAAAAATCATAGATATCCCTAAGTTTTGTAATATTATAAGAACACCCTCTGACATTTTATAAATAACATGGAGATCCCCTAAGGTTTGAAATTTATTACACGAAGACCCCCTTTGTCTCCTTTTCATTAATGCTGCCAATGAAAATTGGTGATTTTATGTCATAAAAACTTTATTATTTTACAATTGTCCTTCTCAAAATTTAGTACCTAAACAATTAAGAATTTAATAAAATCAAATAAAATTTTACTTAGTACCCAAAAAATTGATTAAATAAATTTCAATATTAATTTAATAACAATAAAAATTAATTTGATATTAATTCAACAAAATAGAATATAAATTGAACAAAATTAAATATCAATTTTTTTATAAAATTATATATTAATTTACAATCTAATGTTTATTTTGTGTTGAATATTATTTGGTGTTTATATTTAATGTGCTATTATTTATTTACATTAAGTGTTATTTATAAATTAAGAAGCATGTGACAAAATACATGTCGTCAGATATATAAATAAATAATTACATACCATGTAGTTTCATCTATTTTATGGAGTAAATAATAATAAAAACAACACATGAGAAACAAAACAAAAAAGAGATAACAGTATGAGAGAGAGAAAGACAGAATGTGAATTATATGCGTAATTAAATTAAAAAATTAATGAAGTGCTAAATAATTAATCAGTATTTTAGTTATTACTAAATTTAGTTATCAATTTATTCTATAAGCCTTTGAATACCTAAGTTTTTATTTATTTAGGTATCTCTTCGACCCCTTTAGACATTTGCACATTTAATTATATTATAGAATTATTAATTTTTATTTTGTTAAATAGGTTGATTAGATCGCTTATAATATTATTATATTGTTACATATCAAAAAATAAAATATAACATATATTGGACCGTAGAATTTAACCTAATAACTTTATATGTGTATAATAACTTAACATATATAGTACTTTACTTCTTCATACAGATAGAGATAATTGTAAATAGTATATATAGGAAATCAAAAAAAATTCACAGATTCTGACATATATATATATATATATATATATATATATATATATATATGTGAGGAAGAGAAATATTCATAAATTATATATGGATATAGATAGATATGAGTGAGAATTTTAATGTTCGTTAAAAAAAATTTAATTTGTTTTAATTAAATAGAATTAATTGTGATATTTTGGACAATAGAGATCAAAATGAATTTATTCTTAAATAATTTTTTTTTGATAGATTTATCATCAAATAAATTCATAAAAAAAGGGACTAGCCACCAAATTTCCCAAAAATTTAAATGAGAGTGACTGATCAATCAATCACACCCCCATTAACCAAAGCCTAGACTTTAAATGGTAGTGTTTGTTTGGTATGGAGGATGAAAAGTACAACTGACACACACACACACACATATATATTAAATCTTTTATTCTTTTTTATTGTATTAGATAGGGGGATGAAAAATAGTAAATATTAATTTTTTTGTGATTGATTTGAATAAAAAATTGAAAGAATGAAAAAAAATGTATAAGTATATTTTATCATTGTTTCTTTGTATGAAATTATTGTGTATATAATATGTAATAGATAGGTAGGATATATAAATAAATAACATATATTTAAACCCATATTATTAACTATTAGAGCAATGCTATTAGGACCTAATTCACTGACATAATTTACTGACCTAATTCACTGTGACTTTTAGGTTCACTGTAGACCCCATCAAACATTGGAACTTGATGCTAATCTACTGATTCCTATGAAATCACATTATTATATCAGCAAATTATATCAAATTTTTAGGTCTAAATAGTATTACTCTAACTGAGTAATGCTATTGGAACTGATGTTTTAACCTAAAACCTGACTTGATGATGTACTGGATAAGGTGTGCGTGCCATGTCACTAATTTAGTCAACTAAACTATTTTGCCCTCTTTTTTCTCTAAAAAACTTAAGCTTGTTAGATTTACTATATGTTTATGATGTAGTTGAGTTGCAGTTGAGTTGGTCAATTTGGTTGTTCATAATCCCTTGTTATTAGGGACACAGTTAGTGATTTGTTAGGAATGAAGAGTTTGACCTGATCTGTAGCATATAGGTGCTCTCTTTCTATTTTATTTTTTTGTGGATTTCAAGTTGTTGTATGGCGCTATAAGCCAACCTCTTATGCATAATAAAACATCCTCTTGAGTTGGTAAGTTTTCTCTGTTAACTATCAATATATCTACACGTGGTATCAGAGCCCCCACTGGGCCTGACAAAATCAAAGCAGCAGTCTTTGAGGATCTTGCAGCAGCAATGGGAATTTTGTGCAGCCAGTCATCCCCCGCTTTGATGGTCACTATGACCATTGGAGCATGTTGATGGAGAATTTCCTGCAATCTAAGAAATATTGGGGCTGGTAGAGACTGGCTATGTTGAGCCAGAGTAGAGCGGTGCAGACATGAGCACAGCAAAAGGGGCTAGATAAATTGAAGCTAAAAGACTTGAAATTCAAAAATTATCTCCTCTAGGCTATAGATCGTGTCATTCTCGAAAGCATCCTCAAGAAATATACTGCAAAAGATATTTGGGACTCACTGAAACATAAGTTTTTAGGGACAGCCCGTGTCAAACGCGCTCAAATACAAGCTCTTTGCAGAGAGTTTGAAATTCTTGCAATGAAGAAAGGAGAAACTGTTAATGAATATTTTGGGCGAACATTGGTGATTGCAAACAAAATGCGACTTCATGGCGAAAGAATGGAGGATGTGGTGATCGTGGAAAAAATTCTTCGCTCCATGACCACTAAGTTTGCTTATGTTGTATACTCCATCGAAGAATCTCGAGATGTTACCTCTCTCCGTCGACAACTTACAAAGCTCTTTATTGGTCCATGAACAAAGAATGACTAGCTCTGTTGTTGAAGAAAAATTATTGAAAACTTCACTCGGTGAAGACACTCGACGAAAGACTACCTCCTCATATGGACGAGGTCGTGGCCATGGGAGAGGCTATGGACTTGGACGAGGTCGTTGGCGTGATACACAAGCCTCAAAACAAGAAGGTACATGGGACAAATCCAATGTAGAATGTTTTCGGTGTCATAAATATGGTCACTATCAATATGAGCCCCTGACCTCATTGGAAAAGAATAAAAAAATTTTGCTGAATCTGAGGAGGTGCTCCTGATGGCATACGTTCAGAAGGAGGAGGCGATCAACTTAGAAATTTGGTACTTGGACTCTGGTTGTAGCAATCACATGAGCGGTAACAAATCTCTATTCTTTGAATTAAATGAAGCATTTCGAGAACATGTCAAGTTAGGAGATAATTCTACCGTTGTCGTAATGGGCAAAGGAAACATATACATACATTTTGATAAGCATGTGTGTAAACTGACAGATGTGTTTTACATTCCAAATTTGAAAAATAATCTCATCTATATGGGACAGTTGCATGAACACGGGTACAACATGAGGCTTGAAAGCGAAAACTGTCAAATTCAACACTCATCAGAAGGTCTCATCACCAAAGTCATGATGACAAGGAATCGTATGTTTCCTCTCCATTCTCCCCAACCTATCTCAAGGTGTCTCTCAACTCGGGTACAAGACAACAATTGGTTGTGGCATTGCCGATATGGTCACTTGAATTTCAGTGAGCTGAAAACTCTATATCAAAAAAACATGGTCATTGGCCTACCTCCTATTCAACTTCAAACTGACATATGTGATGAATGCACTGTAGGCAAGCTGCCTTGTGACTCTTTTCCCACTGCTCTAGCATGGCAAACTGAACATATCTTAGAGTTAGTTCACTCCAATTTATGCGAACCTATGAACCCAGCTTCATCCAGTGGGAAGAGGTACTTTCTTACCTTCATTGATGATTACAATCACAACACGTGGGTCTATCTTTTACATGAAAAATCTGAAGTTTTTACTGCCTTTCAAAGCTTTAAATCCACAGTAGAAAAGATGACAGGCTATTCCATCAAATGTCTTCGCACAGACCGTGGCGATGAGTTTTAATTCAGGGGTATTCGTGACAGATTGTGAGCAACATAGCATTCAACGTCAACTCACTGCAATCTACACGCCTCAACAAAAATGGCATGGCCTAGAGGAAAAATCGCACTATTCTCAATATGGTTCGTAGCATGATGGCAAGACAAAATCTTCCCAAAACTTTTTGGCCCGAAGTTGTCAATTGGAGTGTGCATATTCTAAATCGAAGTCCCACCTTTGCTATCAAAGCCATGACTCCCGAAGAACCTTGGTCTAACCGTAAGCCTTATGTAGCTCACTTTAAAATTTTTGGTTGCATAGGCTATACACATGTACCAGATTCAATCAGAACAATGTTGAATGCCAAAAGTGAGTGATGCATCTTTCTAGGCATCACTGAAGAGTCAAAGGCTTTCTGCATGTATTACCCCATCACAAAGAAACTCATCATTAGTTGTGACATTTGGTTTGCAGAAGGACAAACGTGGGATTGGCATAATGCCACACCTAATCTTGAAAGCTCTTTAGATGTTGCAGACGATATAGCCGTAAATGCTAGTAAACAAACTAGTGAAATATTGGAGGGAGGCAGTACTGATACAGTTGATCAGCCACACATGGGCACCACATCTGCAGCACAAGCGGGTGCCACCTGTGACACGTCTGCAGCACAGGTGGGTATGTTGACACCTCTTTCCAACGCAACACCACCACCTCTGAACACTGAAGATCAACCACGTACCTCACGCAAACGACTAGCATGGCGGCCAGCCAGGTTGATGGATTATGTGAGTGGAGATGAGTTATTAGATGATGACCCCTTTGCATAATTGGCTTTGTTTGCTGGTAACAATCCTATCTCTTTCGTTGAGGCAATTCGATCACCCATATGGAAGCAAGCCATGGATGTCGAGATAGAGTCCATTGAGAAAAATGACACATGGAAACTTACAAATTTACCTCACGGAGAGAAGACAGTGGGTGTCAAATGGATATACAAAACAAAGCTCAATGAAAAAGGCAAAATTGACAAACACAAGGCACGGCTGGTGGCAAAGGGTTACACACAAGAATATGGAATTGATTATATGGAGGTCTTCGCCCCAATTGCCCATCTTGATACCATCCGCTTGGTGATGTCTCTCGTAGCTCAAAATTGCTGGACCATTTTTCAACTTGATGTGAAATCTGTTTTTCTTCATGGTGAGCTCACGGAACCAGTTTTCATTGGCCAACCTCCAGGGTACATCCAGCTGGGAAATGAGCACAAAGTATACAAGTTAAGAAAGGCGTTATATGGCCTAAACAGGCCCCATGAGCATGGTACAGTCGCATCGAAGCTTTCTTTCTCAAAATTGGCTTCAAGAAATGCCCATGTGAGCAAACCTTATTCGTCCAAATCAGGGAGGGAGGTAGAATTCTCATAGTTTATTTATATGTAGATGATTTGATTTTTACCGGAAATAATGAAGACATGTTCTTGGAATTTAAAAATTCCATGATGAAGGAATTTGACATGACTGATTTGGGCAGAATGTCCTATTATTTGGTATCGAGGTAGCCCAAACCTCAAATGGAATTTTTATTTGTCAAAAGAAATATGTCCAAGATGTTCTTAAAAGGTTTTAGATGGAGGGGTGCAATCATGTCCATAATCCTATTGTTCCTAGCTGCCATCTCACAAAAGATGCTAGAGGAAAAAGAATTGACAGCACCTTGTACAAGCAGATAATCGGTAGCCTCATGTACTTGTTTGCAACGAGGCTGGATATAATGTATGTCACCAGCCTTCTAAACCGATTCACGGAAGAACCAACCTTGCTACACTTTAAAGTTGCCAAAAAGAGTTCTTCGTTATGTAAAAGGTACTAACAACTTTGGGATTCTTTATAAAAGGGAGAAGGGTAATAGCTTGGTTGGACATAGTGATAGTGATTATGCAGGGGGCTTGGAGGATAGGAAAAGCACATCCTACTATGTGTTTTTCCTCAATTCTGGAGCAATATCGTGGTCTTCTAAAAAACAGTCGGTAGTCTCCTTGTCAACTACAGAAGCCGACTATATTGCAGCTACATCTTGTGCGTGTCAAGCTATATGGCTAAGGAAATTGCTTGAAAATTTGAAGTATGTTCCACGTGGTCCTACGGCAATTCATTGTGACAACAGTTCTGCTATTCAACTTTCAAAAACTCTAGTACTACATGGCAAAAGCAAACACATTGATATCAGGTTCCATTTTCTTCATGAGCTCACAAAGGAAGGTACAATTGAGTTAATATATTGTCAAAGTTCAAAGCAAATTGCAGACATATTTACAAAACCATTGAAGCTTGAGACATTTGTGAGGTTGCGGAGTCTACTTGTTGTTTGTTCTGAATCTGAGATAAACTGATGTTTTGTGTACAACATCAGTTTACGAGAGGGTGTTAGATTTACTATATGTTTATGATGTAGTTGAGTTGGTCAATTTGGTTGTTAATAATCCCTTGTTATTAGGGACACAAATAGTGGTTTATTAGGATAAAAGAGTTTGACCTAATCTGTAGCATACAGGTGCTCTCTTTCTGTTTTATTTTTTTGTGGATTTCAAGTTGTTGTATGGCTATATAAGCCAACCTCTTATGCATAATAAAGCATCCTCTTGAGTTAGTAAGTTTTCTCTGTTAACTATCAATATATCTACAAAGTTGACTCTATTTTTCTTTTCTTTTCTTTCTCCCCATAAGCAAGGCCCAAGTGTAAACTTCCTCTTTTTACGTATTCGTCGATGTTCTATCACCTGAAATCGATGCTAAACATCACTGATGAAGATCGCTATCAAAGATTTGTAAAGATCCACTTGAAGATTATTGTCTTCGCTCCTTCCTCTCCCCTCTTGCAAAGCCCTAACTTCCTCCTCTTCTCTTCATCTTCAGCAAAGTAGACCACCTATAATTGACGTTAGACCATAGTCGACGAGCATCACTACTTTTAAAAAATCCTATATGAAGATCAAATGTATTCCATCATCTCCCTCAAGCCATAGCCATTCTCCTCTCTTTGATCCCTACACCGGAGGCCTCATTGTCTAATGCCACCACAAGTTAAAATCAAGGTCGGGCCATAGCTGACGGGCATCGTTGCCTTCAATCGAGGGGTGCCAAGACATATCAACAACAATATCGGGTCATACACAAAACATTTTTGATAAAAGAAAAAATTGAGAACAACGAGAGATTCCCTTCATAATGCACCATTGTAAAGTGATATCGGATTGTTGTAGTAGTGTTGCCTTTTATTGCTCTAGTTTCCTTTTAATTGTTATTACAGGGCAAAATTTTCAAAAATACATAAAGAGAGCGACAATAGGGGTGAAAATGAAGAGGGTTCCACCAGATGAGAGATGATCAAGGGAGCTTGCAACCAAAATAAAGGGTTAAAGGGGTGCTAGATGTGTATCCAGTGAATCTCTTTCGACAATCAAGTCAATCGTGTGAATTAGTAGAGGAAAATTGAGAGTTCTGGTGTGACCAAGAGTTACGTACCTTTGGTTTTAGGCTAAGGGGGTATTTATACCCAAAAGGCTTGCCTTTAGCTTGGAATGAGAGCGCTAGACAAGTTGAATGTTTTGTAGTGTGTCAAAAAAGAAATTTTCCTAATTCGTTCGTACAACAAGATGACAGAGAGCTGGTCCTTATTGACAACAGGTCAATCACCCTCGAGCTGCGTCATTACTGTACCTTGAGCTGCACACTTACAATTCCTGGGGATGGTAAGTCGAGCCATTACTGCCCATTAATACTCGACTCTAAGCATTAAATCATCGTCTTTCTACCAAATGAAATTGATTAACTAACCCAATCTCTTATTCTCTTGAGATGTGATTGGGCTCGAACAATAAATGGGCACCCCCACCGAGGTATCATCTGATTGGTCCTAGTACCCCAAGGATTGTACTTTTGTGCACATCTCTTGACGTGCTTCTTGTATCAGAAGAGCATGCAACTATTATTCCTTAAAACACCACTTGTCCATGTCATTTATGTCATGTTCATGTCGTCGTGCACAACTATCCGGTTGTCATCAATGCTCGCCCCAGGCATTAACACCATTCAATGATTTGATTGGTTTTTCTTGGACCAAGACCACTCGGCATTCCCTACTGATGCTCGCTTTTATCCATGCGTTGATCTCTCGTTGGTCCATTAGACAGACCACGTCCCATAAGCTATAATGGGTTAGTATGATCTCTGGTACTGGGCAAAGTTGTGGTTTGATGGTCTTGTCCAAATGATCAACTTGATGTTACGCCCGTAATGGTATAGTCTACATGGCTACAATAATGGGTCCAAGAAGTAGAATGTGACGGATATTGGGCCAATGTATGTTGTGTGTAATGAAGGTTCTCATAGCAATGTTTGGTCTTATAATCATGTACTTCGATACTTTTGGTGTCTTGGCCTAATGTTTCATTGTGGAAAGGCTCTTAATGAGTCGTATTGTCCCGTGTTATTAAATCATGCAGGTCATGCTATATCAAGATTTGATCAATCTATACTAAATTCATTTATAGTGATGTATAAAAGATTCATATTGGGTAGACTTCGTATTATGCATAAACTTTATTTAATCGGGTTCGTATCACATTTAACTTGGTTCATGATGATCAATAGAACACACACTATGCTATTTTCAAAATGACGTATTAGTTCTGTATGTAATACGACATCATTTTCGGAACTGCACCTCTGCTGCACAGTGTAGAACTTTTGCCCCAAAGCTATAGGGATAGCACTTGAATGTCACTAACTTTAAAAATATAAAGAAAAAGAAGGCAAATTGTGTTCTTTTCCCTTGCACTGAAAAGGAATTCAAGAGAGAAGAAATGGATGTATCTCACCCTACCTAAAGACACTTTAGAACTAGAAAATGGTTGTACATTGTGCTTGCCACTGAGCACTACCTATAGATACCTAACTATCCAACATCTTTATATACCTATTTTGGAGAACTCCATTGTGCTTTTTGCACCTTTTATTTACTTAATTAAGCAAGCATGCTTGCGAGGTTATATTTGTAAGCTTGTATCACACATCGAAAATGTTTTGGAACATTCAAACTTTATTTAATTGATTAAAGGTAACTCTACTAATTGCCAGTTATTTTGGAGTTAGATGTGATAATTTGGTATAAGATTTCGTCCTTAGATAGTTAATTGATTAAATATCTTACTATTTGAATCCTCGGTATTTGTTTATTTGTTAGTTCATGTACAAACTCGTACCGCAAATAAGTAGAGATGTAAATAGAACTTATACCGCATATCAAAAAAATAAAAATTAGTGTACTCAATGTTGGTCTGCGTAATTGAGGAATAACTCCGTCAATTATTAATTGGTTTTAAATTGAATACTTTTAACGACTCTATTTATTCGTTTTTCCCTTTTTTTTTCCTTCGTGACAGTGGGCAAAGGTACCTATGTCCTAAAGTTTTTACCACACTTGGTAGTAGTAATTGACATTGAGAGCATCTCTAACTCTTACATTTTTCTATACTCAAATTTAAATTTAAACAAAAGAATCTTTAAAAACTTTTTCCAATCTTATATTCAAACTCATACCAAATCAAAGAAGATTAAAATTTTACTCAAATCAAGAAAGACTCAAATTTATTCAAATTTTCAGTGATCGACTTTTATTCTTTGCTAAAGATTCAATGTTCATATTTCACGCTCTTTTAAATATTTGAATTAAGATTGGAGATACTCTAAGAGAGTAAACAATAACACGCTTTACTAGTTGGATTAGTTTATATTTTTAGCTAATAAAAGCTATGCTATTAATAAAATAG